GGGTGGGCGCCGCGGGCGAGCGGGCAGCGTTCCCGGGCAAGCCGTGGCCCATGCTCTGAAAGGCCCTCCCCGACCGCAAGAGTCCGCCCAGACCCCTCTGCTGCTTCTCTATCTCCCGGACTTGGGCCCGTCGCAGCATACTGGCGTAGGCGTCCCCGATCTGCTCCGCGTCCAGGCCTTGGAACTGGCGGAGAACGGCGGGGATGTCGTCGGCGACGCCCTCCATGACCAGGGCTAGCAGGAAGCCCCGGAGCTTCTCGAGCGAGCGATCCGCCTTGTCCTTGGCATTGCGGAAAGGCTTAATGCGGATCCCATTCTCGGGCTGGAACTGGAAGGCCTCGGGGTCGTCGTCCACAATCACCACCTTGCGCAGGTCCCGGTTCAACTTACTCAGGTCCTTGACGTGCTTGCCCTGGTGAAAGCGCGTCGAGTCCTTGTAGAGCCGGTGCATGATCAGGCCCTGTTTATCCAGGGTCCAGGTGATGGGGTCGACCACCCCGAAGTTGCTGGGCGAGAAGAGCACGATCTCGTAGTACTTGCTCAGGTCCTGCAGGAGGCGGTCCACGCCAGGACGTTTGGCATACCTCCAGCCGTACTTCGGGTCCCAGGTCGCGTGAACCAGGGTATCCTCTAGGTCGAGTACGAGCGTCGGGGGGCAGGGCGCGTCCGGTGGGATGTTGGGAATACTGTGCCAGTCGGGCAGGAGCTTTTCGCGGGAGGGATTGACGAAGGGTGAGAAGACTGCGTCGTAAAGCCACGCGTAAGGGCGACCCAGGGGGGAGGCGCGGAGGACGTCGTCGGTACTTTTGTCGCCAGCCGAAGTTTCGTAAACCACGTATGCAACACCTGCCGCTCCACCGGTAGCCAGGAGTTTGATCGCGGCGGAGGCTGCATGGCTGGGAGCGGCGCCCGAGGAGGCAGGGCCAGCAGCCATCGCCGCGGAATCACCCTCCGAGCTGCCTGCCTGCTCCAACAACGATATGCGTGTATTTTTGAAAGCAAAAATAAATCAATCATGAAGGAAAGTTGCACCCGCAAACATGCGCTTGCAATGTGCTCCGCCAATTCCATGCCCTGCCAATCGTGTGACCCTCGACACTTCGTAAGCCTACCTTTGATCCTACAGCGGACGCCTCTTGAGCCGCCGCTTTCTCTTTCAACCACTTTTGACGCCTTGCTTCCCTCGAAGTAATCGCAATGCCAGTGGCGTTCGCATTTGATGCGCCCGTCCCTCCAGCTTGCCCTTCTGCAGCACAAAACGATCGTTGTGGTGGAAAGCGCGATCTGAAAAAATGTCTCTTACACACACGCCGGCATAGAGACGCAGAGGCCGATATCGCACAGCTGGCCATGAAATTCACGTGCACCGTGTGTGGTTGATTCAATGCGACCTGTTGAGTGGAATGGGCAGCATTAAACAAGAGTATCCCGGCGGAGGTGCTCGTCGCCAAAAGGCGGCCACAAGCCACGGGAGGGAGGGAGGAGGTCGGGGAAGTATAGAGTTCACTCTTGCGTCATTCCTGCTCGCCTACTCGCACAGGGACATTGTGATGACGGGGAGGGATGATTATCAAAGTGGAAGTGGAGGCTGTGGTGAAATACTGCGCAGTGGCTTTGGGAAAAACGGAGGAAATTGCGAGCAAAACGTAGCACATCGACCCGTCCCCCCACCGACCTCAACGTCGTTAGCCACTCCGGAGGAGATGCACAAGGAGCAACAACATTTGTTAGAGGTGGTTACTGCCTTCTTGGAGTATAGCAAATTTGCTGGAATGGAGTTGGAGCGGCGATGGGTCCATTTAGGCCGTCTTCCGGAGCACTACGCTAAATTGCTTCCTCCTCACTCGTTGGCACCCGCCCTGCGGGAGCACCGCAAGGCCATTGTTGACAACCAAGCCTTTTTAAATGCGGTGGTAAGAGGTGTCCATGAAATTGCACCTGCTGAGGGCATACTGGACCAAGCTCAAAAACAGCTAGCGCGACAAGCAACGTTAGCTCCAAGACAAATTCTAACAAGCCCAGCGAATATGACCAAAATTTATGCCACCCTCCACAGTTGCATGCGAGAATGGTCCGAGGAGGGGGCCGGTGAGCGTGCTGCATGTTTTGATGTTATTCTGGACGCTTTAGTTGAGTTTTTGCCCGTGGATGACTCGAATCGAGGTCGGCAGAGAGTACTGGTGCCGGGCGCGGGCCTTGGGCGCTTACCATTAGAAGTTGTCGGCCGCGGTTACGCCTGCCAAGGAAATGAATTTTCCTATTTCATGCTTTTGACCTCGAACTTTCTCTTGAACCACGGAGAAAGTGCGAAAAGTCTCCGCCTGTTCCCGTTCGCGGAGCAGAGTTGCAACCTCGTCAGGCTCGGCGACAACGTGAGGCCGGTGCTGGTTCCAGATGTGTCTCCCGCTGAGATGTTGCGAGAGCGTGAGGTGGAAGAGGGGCCCACCGAAGAGGAAAGATCGGCCAATGCGAAGGCAAGAGACGGAAGGAAACGAGAGGCACCACGCGGGAGGGGGCCTGAGATGAAGCTGGAAGTGGGGGGGGAGAAGGGGGAGGACCGGGACGAGGAAGACGGGTATGGAGAGCAGGAATGCCATGATGCGGCCCATCTTCCTCGGAAATGTCTTACACCAGACTTCAGCATGACGGCGGGGGAGTTCCTGGAGGTCTACGGGGAGCAACGAGGCTGCTGGGACGCCCTGGTCACCTGCTTCTTCCTGGATACGGCGCCCGTGGTGTTCGAATACATGGAGACCATTCATCGGCTCCTTCGACCAGGGGGTATTTGGATTAATTTTGGACCCCTCCTATACCATTGGAAGGGCGGAGGGCCCATGGGCGTGGGGGAGGAGGAGGATGAGCGTTTCAGACGGTCGGTCGAGCTTTCCTGGGAGGAGATCAGGCATGTCATGACGGGACAGGAGGGGGAAGGGGGGGGTGCTTTCCGTTTCGATATGAAAAGGGAAGACTTTTGCGGGCCCGTTACCTACGCGGCGGATCCCACGTCGATGATGCGAACAGTATACGACTGTGTCTTCTTCGTTGCCGCGAAGAAGGGGGGGGAGGGCGATCGAGGAGACGCGGAGTGGTTGGCGCCACAGGCGCCCGTGCAGGGTAATGTAAAAAGAGCATTAAACATTTAGTCTCGATAACAAGTGGGAAGTGAATTTTGGGTAGAGAACTCTGCGGACTGCGGAGTTCGCGTGCTCCAAAATATCAAGTAATGTGGTGTGTGGACGAGACGAGAAAAGCGACATGAAATAGTTACTTTGATGCCAAACCCTATTCAGTACCCACGAAAGCCTTACAGAGTGTTCGTCTCTCTTGTCGACCCTTCTGAGCAGGCACTGAGATCCTAACACCCCCACTCATCCTCTCACCACACCTCCAAAGATGCCCCCGCCTCCGCATATGCCCCCTTATGCTTATCGAACAGCTCCAGCAGGGCTTTGACGTACACCTGATGGTACCTCTCCACGTCCTTTTGGCCGGGGTTCTCTATCTTGGGGAGCTGCACTGGACTGCCTATCACGGTGATTAACGGCTGGTCCCAGCCCGGCACCAGGAAGAGCTTGCCCACGAAGGCCACGGCCGGCATGCGATATTTGTTAACCCACAGCCTGACAGCGGTCAACCACGCCCAGTCGGGCAGTAGGGAGTAGTAGCACTTCTCCTCCCCGAACACGAAAGCAGGGTAGACGCGGTAGCCGTAGCGAAGCGCGTAGGCGATAAATCCAGTCCGTTTCCGGATGTAAATTCGGTAAGCGTTGCGTTGGTAAAGCGAGGCCTCTTCGAAACCCCCAGGAAGCAGGGCTAGGTTGGCACCTCTACTCATCCGAGCCTGCATGTAGGCTTTGCTGGCGTGCGCGCAGCCATTCCAGGAGAGGAAATCGCTGCCAAGGGTGCGGAGGCAAAAGGTGGAGGGAAGAATGGAGGGGAAGGAGATATCCCCATTGTTCGGCATTTGTGGGGATTAACCAAAGGGGCTGGACGGATTCCACTGGGTCAGAGTATCGCTTACCTGATGAAGGGAAGCCGTAGCAAGGCCTCGGTCACCAACCACTTCACGTGCGCGTGGCTCATGGTCGCGCTGGTGCTGGTCAGTGCCCACCCCACGGTCAGAATTCCGTGAGGATGCATGCAGATCAAGGACCTGGAACCCGGATCAATCCTCTCGAAGCCATCGAATACCACCTCTTGCGGGTGGAAGTACCGGTTGCCCGCACGGTAGATGTCGCGAACAAAAGCCCATTCCTTGGTGGGGAAGACAAAGCGATAGGCGTAGTATACCAGCAGTACCAGGACCAGGGTATGATCACCCTGGTACATGTCAAATGAGTCAATGCGGGAAAATCAGCGTGAAGAGTCGATCGTGTGTGTCGGCGCAAAACAAGAGTTAACAAGGCTCCGAGGGAGAAATAACGGCGGAGGTACGACAGAGCATTTGCGTTTCCCAACTACACCAACCATCGAGATATTTGCGACTTAAACCGCTTACCCTTGCTAACACTAAAAAAATCGCCAGAGGTATAACGATGACACCGAATAGCCAGACATAAACGAGAGAGGCCAATAGGAGGCCCCCGATTAGCCGCTCCTTGAAGCCTGGCTACGGTGTAGGTGAGGTGGAAGGGGCAACGGAGTCAAACATACCAGCAAAAGGATAGAGTGTTAGTCAGAGACGATGTTAATCGCCTTCTTAAAGAACGAAAGCCTCTTGCATGAATACATAGTGGCGAAAAACGTAGCTGAGGCTCGGGGATCATGTCGACAATGGGCCACGACCCTCGGGGCTTGACATTAGATGCACTTACCGGAGGACGACTGGAGACCCGAGCCCTGGAAACCATCAACACAAGTGTAGCTTTGTACTTCGCCTGAAGAAAGGTAAACAAATTTTCGTGGAAACTTATCTTTTGCAAACTGCCCCATGTACCTGGGGAGTATTTGGCTGGAGGAGGCGGGAGGTCGGCGAGGGCCCCTAATCAAACCCTTCTCACATGTTTCACGGGGACTTAAGCAATGATCGAACCCCCATCAAAGATCAATCGTCCATTCAATGATAAAACCCTGTTGTAGGACTCGTGTGCACCCTGCTTGCCCGGATTTGGGGACACACTGCGGGCCTTAATTATTAGGAATCGTATCCATCCAGGTTGGCCCCAGTAACTTGACTGGTCCCCATACATATCCCATTTTTCAACGACAATGCTGGATCCCTCACCGTTCTTGTATATGGAATGCATATCATGGCGTCAGATGTTTCATCACCGGGCTGGAAAGCTCAAGCAGCAAAACAAGAAGCACAAAGCGCGTCGACACCTTGCGTCAAAGCGTGCGGTTAAGCGCGATGAGGGCGGCAAGGTCACTGCTGTCAGCAGCCATGTCTCCGTCGCCTCGTCTGCGACATCACAACAGCGCCAAGGAAACAAACAACGTACCTTTGAGAACGATTTCAAGCGAGATCGCCTGAATCGTGCCCGGCAGGTGAAGGAACAAAAGCGGCAAGAGCAGTTTTTGCAGCGGCGCACAGGCTCCGCCCTCGGTCCTCCCTCGCTTGTGGCCCTCCTGCCTCTTTCTCCGTACTGTGACTTACATGCCGTACAAGAGGCTCTGTTTAAGACTCGCGAGCCTCAGCAAACAGCAGGAGAAGACGTTACCGTGTCGAGCCCAGGGGTTCTGACAGCGGCTTTCAAGAATTTGAAGCAACGGTTTACCTTTTTGCTCCCCCACTTCGGGCTGCACGAGGCCTTGGAGGCAGCGCGAGTGGCAGACATGGTACTCTTCATCCTGGATGTGAGCAGGGGCGCGGAAGGGGCCGTGGCGCAGGAGGGTGACCTGGCGCTCTCAGCCTTGCGGGCCCAAGGTCTGCCCACGACCGCCGGCATCATCCACGGGCTCGAGCACCACAAAGGACGCAAGAGCGAGCCCGAGCTACGGCGGTACGGGCATCGCTTCTTCGAGACGGAGTTTGGGGACAAAGTGAAGGTGGGAGAGAGCAGCAACCTGGCGCAGTTGCTGCGCGTCCTGTCCACGCCCGGCGTGCCCAGCGTGCAGTGGCGGCAGGCGCGGTCCTTCATCGTGGCCGACGCCGTGAGCTGGTCCCCGGCGCCAGGGAAGAGACGGGAGGGGGGTGCGCACGAGCGAGGTCTGGGGGAAAAGGGAGGAGGGGGAGGGTCTGAGGAGGACGAGGGCGTGCTGCGCGTGCGGGGCTATGTGCGTGGGAAGCCTCTGGGCGTCAATCAACTTGTGCATGTCCCGGGTTTGGGCACCTACGCCATGGATCGTATCCTCAGTAGCCGGGGGGAAGAGCCTTGCCCCTTGCGAGGCGCATCCTCGTCCTCGTCACACATGCAAGTCGCGCTTTCTATGGAGGGTGCTGGAAGCCATCAAGAGGAGGTTATGGCGGTGGCAGCGCCAGGACCGGCGCGGGAGGAATCTTTGAAGATGTGGGCGGACGTGGACGAACTTGCAGGCGAGCAGACCTGGCCTATGGCGGAAGAAGGGGGGGGAGAGTGGCCTGACGACAATGAGGAGGGGGGGGAGAAGGTACTGGTGCCGGGCGCGGGC